CGACCGTTCGAAAGCTAACGTTCATGATTTCGTTCCATGTTTACATTCATCGGAACTACGATGGTAATTATGTAATCGATAAGAAATTATTCATTTTATAATCATAACGTACGTACTCGTACGTAAAATGTTCCTATTAGTTAGTAAAGCAGTGTAAATAGTAGAATTATTTTTATTCGCGCTCATGATGATGCAGGGACACTTATTCATAACAGTATTAACCATAGAATTATAAAATTCTGTATCGTTAACAGGAATTTATTTATTAAGCGTCTAGGACTGTAGTTAAAAATGGAAAATTTTGTGAATATTTTTTTAACTGTATTCTAAGCGAGATACTAGTCGAATTAAATTAAGTCTTATAAAATAATTTTATAGCAATATATTTTACGATAAAAATAAATTATTCGAAAAGCGTTACTGTCCTATCGATACCTTGCGAGCATGAAAACTATTTCTCTTTTTGTACGTTCCAAATCCCAGTAATCTAATCTCTTCTAATGCGTTTAGTCCGATAGAGTCAATATTGCAACATTTAATTTTGTCTTGGGTCCCACGAAACTATAATGCGCCGTTGGTTCCAGGCACTATAATAATAAAAAGAAGCATGCACGCGTTCGAAAGAAATCACATTTCTCCGGTAAATTAATTTAGACCACCTGCTAAGGGTTGATCAGATCAACGGGTTACGGGAAGCCCACGAAAACGATTCAGCAAACGAGGCTGCTAAATCGCAAATCGTGTCTTTGTTATCAGCCGATCACGGGGCATCAATGGCGATCGATAAAACATTTTAATGGCAACCGCGAGCCTCCCTTATCGCGCGGATTCCTCGTGCTTAGGAACTCGCCGCTCTTAAATATAGATTCCGCGCTCTTTCTTATGCAAACAGCGGGATCCATGGTGGAGGAGATGTGCCATTTGCGAAATGGTCACGGACTCTCCGGCCAGAAGTAGGGTGGAGAGGGAAAAGGGGGGCCGGGAAAAGGTTTGTATGGCAGTGTATAGGTAAAGCTACATTGCAGAGCGCAACCCTGGGACGAACGCCAGCAGCGAGAGTGAACCTTCGGTTTCTAGGGGTTGGACGAAGAGGGCGAGGGTCGATATTGTGCTTGACAGATAGTTTCCCATAGCTCCGGCAATCCATCATGGCCGGCACGCGGATACGTATTGGTTTTTCTGCAACACGTCTTAGCTGTGAACCTCGAATTGAATATATTTCTTTTTTTCTCTGCAGCCTGTCCGGGTAACCCGCGCGGAATTTATCAGGTCTCCCGCGCACTGCCTCCTCTTCCTCCTCCTCGAAGAGTTTATATTTTTTTCAAGAGGAAGTTTTCCAAGTTTGGCTACCTTTGGCGCCCAGAGGGGAAAACTGTTTATATTGGGAAAGAATTGAGTGAATTCGGAGCAGTAATACTCGGTATTTTTTACTTATGTCGTAGTACAGAATATTAAAATCTCGGCTACATAAAAGCTCGTATCAAATGGCATAGCTGACACATCCTGTAACAGAGTCCGAGCGTAGGATCGTACCCTACGATTATTATGCGCATTCAGAACGCTATCGAACGTTGCGTTTAAGTCGTCTCGATTAGCCTACAAGAAGCGTCGTCCTACGAACCCATCAACAACAAAAGGACAGCAAAACGAACACGATCACCCTTATTTATGCGGACCTATGAAACCATCCACGCACAGGTTAACGAATGAGCATCGTGACAGGCACAACTGTGACAAGATCTACATTAAAGCTCTGCCTCCTAAACATACTCGCGAGACTCATTGCGTCATCGATCTTTAACGTGTCCTACGGGCAGAGGTGGAATCGAGTTCAATACGAGCATATAAATCTGAATCAATCGTTATTACGTTTCGCGAATGCTATTATAAGTATTATGCAAGATGAACTTGGCATTAGTGATTAATACTGTCGCGCATGTACAAGCGATAACTGATCAGCGATTCGAGAAAGAGGGGAATGTATATTCGCATAATTCGTGGGATGACCCGATACTTACGACTCTCTCGATCTCACCCCTGACCGCAAACGACACACAAACGCGCCTGGAAATGATACGGAGCCGGTTAAAGCCTGGGATCAACGACAATAATCACTTTCTCGGACTCCCTGTCCAACGAGGCGCTGGATTATGGGGTTGCAGCAAATTGGTGGGACGAAGAGGATGGGTTTGAGCGTTGCTCTCCAAGTTGCAGAGAGGAGGGAGGAACAGATACACGTGTCCCGGCGGCTCTGCTTTGCGACACGTGATTCATGGGGGTCTCGATACGTTTTTTACACCTGCGACGGCTTTATTAGAAATTCTAATGGGACGAACGAGAGAAAAGAGAGGGAGAGAAGGAGCCAGCGGCGAAGAATGACACGCGGCCGCGAGGTAGTGCTCCACGTATCGGACCGAAATACACCGAAATACGCCGAAATACACCGACCGTGCCCGACTTCTTTCACCAGATACCAGATCCCTTCGATGCCTTTGGCTTTCATTACGTCAGTCTGAAATACATCGACGTCCTGACGTGATGACTTCGTTATCTCGACTTGCTCCTCGCTGGAACTCGATCGCGTATGCTTGCTCCCAAGCCAACCCTTTTTAAAAATAATTCTGTGTATAATAATTAGACCACAAAAATAATTCCTGCAACCGAGGATTGAATCATCATTCCGTGACCAAACCTCGACAACCGATACCTGTACAAAGCATGAAACTTTGAATCTTTCACCCTTCGACAACCCTCTTACCCGAAGTTGCGTCCAAACGGCGAGCACCCTTCGAAACCATCTCTGCAAGAACAACCGGGTTTGGCTGCACGATGACGAATTCGCAAACGTCTCGGCGATCGTCATCGCGTTTCCAGCAACTCGTCGGTGTTTTGCGGCAAGGACGAACCGTGTCTGAACCGCGATCACTTGTCAACTTCTCTCTCCACCCTCTTCGAGATGAGATCGGTCGCGCGCGCGCGTTTTCAGGGCACGCCGCCGCGACGCGACCAAGAGGCCTAGGAAGGATGGTAGGTGTAGGACAAATACTGAGCGCCGAAGTGGCGAATACCGAAGAGGTGGTGGGGATTCCCCGCGTACACGAGCAGAACCGCGAGAGAACTTAAAGTGGAAGAGATAGCCGGTTCCGTCGGCGCTCTGGTGGGGCGCGGCGGCGCGTTGGTGGGGCCGTTGAAGAAGAGGTGGGGCTGATGAGGGCGGGCGCGCGCGACAATTCAACAGGAACGACCGCGCTTGCCACATCTGGCGAGCGAGCAGCACACTATGCGCTTTCCTCGTGCTTTTCCTTTTCCATAGAGCACGAAACAATCGTGTCTGGATCACCCTCGCGTACTCTCTCGAACTTGTACGCAGTTGGAAGGGACCATTTTTAAATGGTAAGAAAATTTGGAGTAAGATCGAGGATTGTCGTTGAGCGAGGCTGATGAATTCATCTAAAACTATACGAATCTTAAGCTCTGTCTGATACCAGTGAAATTTACTTTTGAAATTTACTCATACTTTTTGGACTCCGATAGTCCTTGTTGAAGCCTTGTTGCTCGATGACCTGAAGGAGGTTTGTATGACAAGTAACGATTAACTTGGAGATCTTGGTGCTAGAGATAGTTAAATAATTTAAAGGAAAAAAAGAATGTCTTCACCCCTTCTCTGTTACGCAGGTCTGCGATGAGACCAATAATCGTGGACGATCCATCCGGTCGAGGACATAGACGCGAGTAGGTAGGACCAGGAAGACAATAGGCGAGAGGCTCGATCGCGCGGAACGCGGAAAATACGCGCGGAAAACGCGAGAGAAACGAGCTGAAGCGTTATCCGCGAGAAGCAAGGAGAGCTCCGCCTCCTCGGCCGTCCCCTTTGCTCGGGAACCCCACCGGCGCGTCGCCACCCCGCGGTGCCCCCCGTTTGACCAACTGGCTACTACGTCACACATGCTTCTGCTCGGTTCGGAGCCGCCAACTCCGAAGGCTCTCCTCTCGACCGGCTCAGTCCGTTCAGTGAGTTACGAGTTGCGTCCGGGTTCGCCGTACGTGCGATAACGGGGGCGTCAATCGGACCGCGCGATTGGGAGAGGATTCCTAGTCTCGTGCACGCTTTCCATTCTCTCTTCGTCTCTCCCATTCTCCGGTCTCCGTCGCTCCGTCCCACGGTTCGTCCCTCTCATTCGGCTACGGGCAACAGGTTTGAATTTATGGGACAATAAAGAGTGCGGTGCGTAGTGCGCGCGTGTTTCCCTCTCGCTCGCTCCAGTCCCGGCCCTTCTTTCCCGCCAGACGAGCTGCACGGTCTCTCCCACGAACACGTTCCGACTTCTCTCGCATCGTCGACGGAGAACACCGCGTCGGAGACTATCAAACTCTCATAAAACTGTCAGCCGCGGTCGTCCGACTTATGCGCGCCCCTTCGTTTCTCGCATCGGGCCCTGTCCGTTTCGCGCGTTCCGCGATGCGTCAGGAAGTGGAACGAGCGTTCTCCGCCTGATCGACCGTTTGAGAACTCGTGTCCTCGATTTCACGTCGGATCAACCGGCACCACTAGCGACCGGACGAGCGCGCACCGCGAACGATCGGACGACACCGTTGACGCGCGACCGCCGAGGTGTGCCAACGATCCGTAGGCGATCGAACGAGATCGGAGATCGAGCAGAACCGGCAGTCCCGCGGGGTACCACCTCTTCCTCCTTCTTTCCACGCCACGAGGGTGTACGCGGAAGGGGGCGCGTGCGCGCGTTGCCCCCTCGCAGAGACGGCAAGCGGAAGACTACTTCTCGGTGACGTTGCGGCCAGAAGGTTGCAGCGAAGAGAACGAGAGAGAAGCAGAGAGATCCTCGCCCCACCATCGGTCCTCGGGGCTCCCGAATATCTCTCCATTAGCCCCCCTGACGGTGCTATCCCCTCTCTGTGACCCCTCGGATTTCCTGTCCTGCTCGCACACCCCTCTCGTCGGCTCTTGTCACGTCGGGTAGCAGCCAGGCAACACCACCACACGAGCAAGCAGCCGCGGCAGCAGCAGCAGCAGCACCAGCACCAGCACCGCAGACCCGACGGAGACGCAAGGAACGGGGTTGAAGAATCCTACGCCGGCGGAGAGACCAATCAAGGTTTGACGAACGACGGGGATTGGTCGAGGCGCTCCTCTGACACGCAGAGAGCGCGGGCACGTGACAAGCTACCGCACACACCGGGCCTCCGTTGGATCGCGGCGAGGCCTTCAGTACGATACCAACCACCCTCCGCGCACGCAACAGGAACGGTGAACGGCATACGCTTCACCCCCTAATGCGGTGATATCGGGCACACCGGCTTACCGAGAGGAGCCACCTCGGACGGTTTCTATTCTTCGAACGTTAGTTCTCCGCGTGTTACGTTCGCACATCCGACCGTCCACGATCCGCGTTCACGGTTCGTCCCGTGCCACGGGATTTTCGATTGTTGTTTCCGTATCTCGACGCGACTCGGATTCGTGCGGATAAATCATCGACGAAGAGAGGGAAGTGCACGGGGGTCTCGTCTTCAATGGGGCGACTCGATAAGCCGGCTGTTACGCGCTACTGCACGCTGCCACCGCGAGTTCTCTGTAGGTAATTGCGACTCGTGAGGTCGTAAAGAAGCAGAAGACAGTTTTATAGCCCAGGCCCACGTGGCCCTCGTAAACTGGACTCGGCTCGGGTCGGCATCAGATTCTGCCCGCCTGCCGGCACACGATCGCCTCTCCTTCTACTCGTCGCGATCCCCCTCGTTCATTATCGAGTCGTTTAGGGAGCCGGGGTTCATCCGCGTGTAACGCCGCGCGATAGGTGCGAAAGCGTTCGTCGCGGCCACGGGACTCGAGAGAAACAGCGAGGGCCCGCTCTTTTCTCTCCCCCAGTGATACAGCGACACGGTAACCTGTCGTCGTCTACCGCTGGTGCGACATGCCACCGGTGTCGTGAGACCACCGACGCGATGACACGGCCCTGTACTTAACGACAGTGCGCGTACATCCTTCTCCTGGCGGCCGATCGGTGATCGACAGAGCAATCGGTGGTGTTGTTCCCGTGAATGTCGAGCCGTACGCGCGCGAAACGATCGCTACAGTGACGTCGACGACTGGTGCAACCGCGTGAACGATGAGTTCCTATCAGTTCGTGAACTCGCTGGCATCGTGCTACGCGGGACAGCAGCCCCAACAGCAACCACGAGCCACGGCGAACTCGCCTGGAGAACCGTTACAGGCGGCGTCCCCCGCGGGCGGGGACTATTACAATCCAAACGCAGCGGCCACCAGTTACCCGGCGCCCTGTTATTCGCCTCAGCAGCACTATCCTCAGCATCCTTACGCGACGCCCGCGGCCGGGATGCCGCACGCGGCGCCCGCAGGCATGATAGACTACACGCAGCTGCAGCCTCAACCGAGGCTCAGCGCGACCACCACCTCGCAGCAGCATAGCCTGCACGCGCAACAATCCCAACATCACCCTCAGCAACATCATCCTCAGCAGCTCCATCAGGACCCGACGACGCCGCTTCTTCAGGCCGCGTCCGCGCCCTCGGCACCCTCCACCTCGAGCTGCAAGTACGCCGACTCGACGTCCTCCGCCAGCGTCGCGTCGCCCCAGGATCTGACCACGTCCACCTCCAGGAACAGTCCAACGCCTCTGGTCGCATCGGGCACCAGTAAATCCGCCTCCGGGCTCACATCGCCGCCTGGCAGCTCGCTGAGGTCCTCTGTGGCCGCGTCGGCTGCCTCGCCGCCCAGCGGAAACTCGAGAGCAGGACCAGAGGAAACATCGACGCTGACCACCGCGACGTCGGCTTCCTCGCCGGCGTCCTCGACCTCCAGCACCTCCAGCACCGGGAACAACTCGTCGAACAAGCAGAACGCCTCCGGTGGCACTCCGCCGCAGATTTACCCGTGGATGAAGAGGGTGCACATCGGACAGAGTAAGTCAGTTCCGCCTACATTATGTCTTTTTTTAGTCTGTTTAATTGGGGGGTACGGTGCGGGTCGGTAGGCCGAGGTCGCGACCGCGAGATGTGATCTAAGGTGAGCCGATTCGAGAAAGGCTCTCGGATTGGCTTAAATCGAGCTTGAAGATCGTTGCAAAGTACGGCGTAGATAGGTGGATAACGAGTAATTTGCTATATGAAAGATACAATGAATGCACTCTATTGAACGCTAACTTAGGCAGTCCAGAATTTATTCCTTCTGAAATTAGAGTCACTTCAGTCACGGTAGATAGCACGGACGAAGTCCTCGGTTGAATAATCGCGCAAGGAGTATACTTTCTTGCAACCTTTCCTCGACTCTGGCCTCCCACGACGCTTGCACGTGTTTCGTGACTTTCCACGGATCGCAATTGCCGAAAAGAAGTTCGGATTTCCGGTAGCGGTGGCCGGTTCTCGTGTTTCCCGAAAGCGGGAAGGAAAGAGCGACTCGAGGTCCGAGGTGAAATTCCGTGAACGAATTGCATCGGAAAAAAAAGGAAGCGTAAAATCGCTGCTCGTACGTCGGGCGTCCTGTTAGGCCGTAAATCGTGCGGCGGTCGAGCCCGATCGGTGGATAAGTCATCGTGGAAATCTACGAAAAGAAATATCACCGGCTCGTAAAAGTTAGCGGTGATTTGTAGATTAGCGCCACGAAAATTTGTGCCAGTGTGTCATAACAGGAATGCGGAGTCGCGGCTCTTTAATAATCGCGATTACTCCGCGGCGGCCGGTTCCTTGAGTTCGCTAAATCACGGATAAAATATTAACGCAGACATTATAAATTTCGATACTCGCCGCGATAGCGATCTTTCCTCGTATATTATTTTCTGTGTTGGCGAAGGAGAACCCACGGACAAATTAACGAGTTTCCTCAAGGTCTGATTTCGAGGTTTGTGACGATAGCAGAGGAGGGTAACGTTTAGGATATTTCAGGGCACGGCAATTACGATGACGCAAGGTTCGCAGGTCATGAACGACACTGTGTTTACAGCCACGAGTGTTCGCTACAAATAGAGAAGTCACGCTTAGAGTAGACAGGTTTTTTCTTGTTAAGTCTAATAAGCGCATTAGTTTCAAATGAAAACAAGCACGAAACCACACCACCATTAAGATTCCTCTTGATATCTACCGTTTGCATCTCGGGTACCTTGGAGGGATCCTCCTAGTCGGTTCTTGACCTTCGCGAACGAATTGCGCCCCGAACGACTTTATCGCCGATTTAGAACAATTTACAACACTGTCAGACCGTGGTTCGTAAATGTTTCACGTTATCGCGGAATGGCTGACGCGCAGGGACGAGAGCCGTGCAAGAATAGCAGAAAAATAATCGATAGGACAGCACCGGTTGTTCGAAAGTAGGTGGAAATTACGCGAATATTGCGTCGGTAGCGTGGCGAGCTAGGAAGACCACGTAAATTGAGAAATTAAATAGAATTTACAAAGTTAAAAGTCCGCTACTTGACCTTTGAATTGAAATTTCTCTTCATTACCATAATCTGCAACATAGTGTCCGTGACAAACGTAAGCGGGTTCTGAAAATCCTTACCGTAGAGTTTCCCATAGATCAATGTTGACGATTAGATAAAGAATACGCGTAACGGTGTAGCCTGATTCAAACCAGTCGATGATTCATTAGGAGATTCGAAGCAATAAAAATGTTGCGCGTTTAGACGAATTAGGGACACCGTGGAGAACGTGAATGCGCTATGAAAAATGAGCGAGAGAGACTCCGAATTCGAGGGTATCATTTATCCATCTTAAGTATTTAAAAATTTTAAGGTAAATCCAGGGTGTACGTGCCTCTGTTGGTGGTGACAATTTTCACTATTTGATAACCTCTTTTCGAGACTACAAAATCAATTTCCTAGGCCATCGGATAAAGCTTCCTAAATTCCTTAGATTCTATATTCTCCAGAAGACCATACAATCAACTTTGGCATTCAAAAATCCAGTTGTAGCAATTTTGCGTGTGCGTAATCTAGTCGAACGCGGTACATAATGATATGCTATGCTTGTCTCCATTTTTCTAATTTTTGTTTGTTATTGTATTTGATATCAAGGGCATATTGTCAGGTCCTAGCAGAGTTCCCAAGACAATTCTCCAACTTACACAATCGAATCACACAAGCAACGAGAAGAACATCTCAAATCTGTTCGTACCAAGGTTCACGAATAGGCCTCCACATCCTAAACGCCCACGAGCACTCCAAACCGTAAAGTCCCGCGATTCATTAAAGATCGTCGCGCCGTCATAACAGGCGATCAATGTAAAAATCTTCCCATCGAATAGCCATCGGCCGCGAGCGCCCACGCCAGCTCTTCTGGAAGATAACCGTCGCCTCCCTGGCTAACGACGATTACGTAAACTTTGGTCCCGCCGCGGCAGTAGCTTGTGAAATCGGACCGCTGATTCTTGGATAACGACGGACGGCTATAAAAATACGGAAACGGGAGGAGACAAATAGAGTGCGTCGCCGAGCAAAGGCACGAATCTCTTTGGGAGGACACACGGGGTGCAGCGAGTCCTGGACCAAGAGTAATTCAGCGGAGTCCAAGGGACTGGATCCACCTGCCCCCGTGGTTCAAAGGAGATAAGACAGCGAGCGCTGGTCGCGTTCACATTAGTCGCCCCGCGTGATTTACTGCGCGGCCAGTATGATTCAGTCAGCGGGGAATTTGACGAAGAATTAATGGTATTATGATATCGTGTGTAACTCTATGTATGTGCGCCCGGGCCATAAATCAGGCTGCATTGTAAGGCGCGGGGGGCCCTTTCCTTCGTCCTCTCTGTCACTCCGACTTCGGCCCGTGCCCTCTCCGTCTTTCTCGGCCTCTCTCGAACGAAGGCCGAAGCCCCATTCGACGGGCCTTCCAAACGGGATACGAAAACCAAAGCTCCTTTCCTGTGCCTTTCGACTTCCTCTCTCGCTCCCCCACTCACGCCTCCGCTGTGTGCTTCGATTCTTTTCCCCGTGTTTCTGCCACGATTGAGTTCGCTTTACATGCACCATGCTTTCTTACATGAGAATTATACCCATCTGGACTCTTCAGTTTCGTAATCCGTATCTAGTTTTTTTTTGGAACTGTTCACCCTCTTCTTTCGTGACCTTTCCATGGGGTTTTCTTTAGCTGTTAGAGTCTAACCTTTCTCATATCGCAGTGGACCTTTGGCAGAAGCTGGAAGATGATGAATGGCGTTGAGACTGTTTCGATGGGACCGTAGTTTTTTTATTTCATGTGTTACAAAACGAGACATTTAGATGATAAGCTGTATTTGTTTGTTCCGAAGCATCTTTCTCCGACATATTCGGTTTGACGCGTGAAAACGTCGCCGCGTCAAGGCAATCGGAGCAGGCTTACTCCGCATCACCGTCGGGACAACGGTCCCTCGGATTTCCGACCGGAGGATAGAATCCTCGAGATCCGAATTTTTCGTACAAGAATCTCGACAAAATGTCTCGGACGTCCCACAGCGTTAATTGTACGTTTCCCCGGGAGAAGACAGCGGCCGTGATAATTGCCTTCTTCGCAGAATTGTGCATCAATAGACGGAGCTGTGCAAAAGCGGCCGTAAATCACGAAGAGTAGCGCGAAAGTTACCCCGTCAAAGGGGTAATTGTACTCGAGATAATTATGCTAGGTGATTTCTGACCTGACCGTGTCTTCTCCAAACGATCCCGAAAGCAAAGGACCTCGTCTCGCCGTTCCCAAGTACTCCATCCTCCGCTGAACGCGTTCTCCACTCCGCTTGGCTTCAGATTTTGATTAAAGCATCAAGGTCGGTGGTTGCGTTTTTAGTTACGCTTAGAGCGTGCAGCGATATTTAATAATAACGATTTCCCTTGAAATAGATCCCACGTGGCTCGGTTTTTAACGATTTCGAAACGGATTCAGAATTTTCAGAGGAATTCTAATAGTCAGAAATAGATCGCAGATCAGCTTAGAGCCACGAATGTCGTTTTGCATTCTAATTTATGTAAATAGTTGAACGTTGTATCATTGATCAAGGCTTAGATTTTTTCAACCTATCGTTAGATATAATCGGTGGATCCAAAAACACCTTGAGGTTGCAAGGTACAGAGAATTTCAAGAATTTTGTAAAGAAAAGGACTTCCACGGGTAAGGTGGAAAGAATTTAGGAAATTCGTGGATCTTCATGTCCGGCGAAGGCATGTAAACGAGAGAAGTTAAAAGGGGTCAAGATAAAGAGTGAAGTGGAACATGGAACCATGCTACGAGAAATTTTGAAAGAATTAGACAAAGTTGACTTGAGTTCTTTAAAAAAAAATGGGTGTCAGCATACTCGAGGGAAGCAGTAGAAAAATGAGAATCAACGAGATACAGTATCGGATGCATAGATTTTACGCAGGTTGCTCGTAGAAAGTTGATCGGATAGATGCGTTCGAGGAAGACGTTACGGTATGTTTCCTCGATAAGACAGAATCGATAAAAAAAATAGCGTGCATAAAGGTACATCCTGACCTGACTACTTTCTTGAAAGTCTTCGCGGGCCCACCTACAGCTATTCAACTCTTTCTGGTGACTTTCTCTGGTTTCTTTTCCATGGCTAATTAATGAAATGCGATTTGCTCCGGAGACAGTCACCTACGATCTTATAAGCTCCGAGTGGAGGCCCTTCTTTAACACGTTCATCGCCACGTCACCCATATGTGGGCGACAGGGATTTTCACTAAGGAATTAAAAAATTAATTCTGAAGATCATGTGTTAAAGAAAAATAAGTCTGGATAGGATTCGTGAATTGGAAGATTGACTGTCATAGATCAATAGCACCAGTCATTTTTCATGTTGTTCTATCAGCAATGGAATCAGAACAGAAATAATCTTTGAAACTGTAACTGACGCTTCCGTGGGATCTCGGTTTGAAAGCAGCAGTCAGTGTCCTTTCAAGGAAGGCTGTTCGCCATTCAGTAAGCGGAAGGTCTTTTCACTCCCG